GTTGTCATTAAAAGCCTCTCTTTTTCCAATTATTTTATACGATTAGTTTTATCTTTTTTACTATAGAAATAAAATAGGTCCTCAGTGAAAATGTGAAAACTGTAATGTAAACAACATAAAGAGCAAGGCTTCATCAGGAGTCCCTGTGGGGTGCAAGTGGAAGTGTGGGACTGCTAACTAAAAGGCGAGTGGTTTGAACCCACCCAGAGGGGCCTCCGAAGAAAAGTCTGGCAACCTACATCCCCAAAGTCACAACCTTGCAAACCCTATGGAGCAATCAGTTCTCCTCTGCACATACAGGGTGGTCAGGAGTGGGTCAACTCAGTGGCAAGTGGTTTTTTGGTGGTGGTGGTTGTTTGTGTTTTGGTGTACAATCTCCTCAATCATGGTTAACTAGTTTTGCTTGCTTCCTCCTGGCAATTTATTTTTTCTAAAATTATTTTTACATCACCGAGATTTATTTTATATCATCTTTTTCACTAGTGCAGAATAGACATGATCCTCCTGTTATTTAAAACTTTCTGCCAGTATCGTGTTGAATTATCTCAATAGCGGATAACATTTAAGTGTCTGGATCACAGATAATATATTAGACTAGGATTTCCAATATCTTTGAATGACAGATAAGGCTTTGATGAATTTCATTTCTTTTAAGTGACTGCCAACCTTGACTTTTCAGAGGCATCAGAAGTGCCCAGAGGGCCCATTCTGAGCATTTCTGATTCCGTAATAGGGGCTGGGGCCAAATCATTTGCATTTCTGACGGGGGTCTAGGGCTGCTGCTGCTGCTGGTCCCAAGAACACTCTGAGAATCAGGGAACAACACGATGTTGATTCTTGTTATTGTTGTTAATACATTTCTCAAAAAAGGATGCTTCTGCCCTCCAACGTAGGTTCCACCTTTGATATGGAAGAAAAATAAGTAAATAATGCCTATCTTGGTTAGAAAAGGATGCAGTGAGGTCTATTAAAAGATTCTCTAAATCTTCCAGAGACTGGTTTTTGCTGACCTGTGGGCTTCGCTGTGGAATTTTCTGGAACAGTTGTCCATTTGACCCGGGAGCTGTATCGTTATACAGCTGGTCTCCCTCCCTCCCTCTCTCTGTTTGTTTTCAGTCACCTGCTCTCATTTAATTCATTTCCTTTGCTGTTTTCCTTCCTCTGGGAAGTCTGACATCTGTCCCACATGCTTCGTTATGAATACACAGGCTCATCTTTTTATCTTTATTTTTAACTTCCATGAGTCACTGACCACTTTCTTCTTTCCATTCCTCGTGCTTCTAAAGGACGCTGTCTATATCATTCTTTATGACTGCTTATTTTTTATTCCTTACGTGTTTATACAGTTACAATCCGCTGACATTCATATTTAATCGGAGCCTAAAGCCAAATACTGGTTAACACATGCCTTCTCACCTCGTTGGCACCATCATGTGGTGAAAGTATGCAACGCATCGGAAAATCTGCAGCGCATGTAAGACCTGGAGCTGTTACAGCGCATTCTAGGAGAGAACAAGGAAGCCAGAGAATTAGAGGTTGAGAGACCTGAAGCAATCCTGTTACTTCCGTAAGTGTAGAGCAAAACAGGAAGTAGTAAAAGCCAATGATTGTTATGGGGACTCTGGAGTCAATGGCCTGTGCTCAAAGCCTGGCTTTGCCCCTTACTGTCCTGTGACTTTGGGCCTGTTGATTGATCCCCTGAGCTTTAATTTCCTCAGAAATGAAACGGGGATACCAAAATCATCAACCTCATAGGAAGGATGAAAGAAACAATATTATGATAATAGCACAATGCCCTTCAAATAGTTCAATAACATCAGTTATGGTGGATGAGTTTTTTTTAAAAAAATGCTCACATTTGCTTTTTCATTTATGTTCGATCCTGGAATAAAATGACTACTGGAAAAGAAGACTTTGCCTGAAAATTTAGAAAAGTGTGTCAAAATGGAAGAATGGTTTTCAAAATGGTCAGTAGTAGCAGCAAGTGTAAGACTGTAAACTACGGGCATTGAAAAAGCATTTATTTTAATTCTATATTTTAAAAGATATTATTGCTGATGTCAGATTAATCTTGGCTGAAAGAAGAGAATATACAAAAAGATGGCTACTTTTTTTTAATTGACTATGCCAACACATTCAGCTATGTAACAACAACAAAAACCCCCACTGCCATAGAGTCTATTTCAACTCATAGCAACCCGATAGGAAAGAGCAGAACTCCCTGTGGGTTTCTGAGCCTGTGCCTCTTTCCAGGTGTGGACACCCTCATATGTGAACATCATAAGAAATATGAACAGCCTTGAGAAGACCTGGAATTCTAGAACAGCTCATTGCGCTCATGCAGAGCTCATACATGAATCATGAGGCAGTTGTGCAAATGGAACAAAGAAAGACTGCCTGGTTTAAAATCAGGAGAGGGAGACGTCAGGGTTGTCTCCTCTCACCATACTTTTTCATTCTGTAAACTGAGCTAATCATCAGAGAAGCTGGGTTATATGAAGAAGAGTGTGGCACGGTTGGGAGGAAGGCTTATGAACAACTTGCAATATGTAGCTGACACACCTGAAAGTGAGGAGGACTTGAAGCACTTGCTGATGAAGATCAAGTATTGCAGCCTTCAGTATGGATTACAACTCAATGTAACGAAAATAATAATCCTCACAACTGGACCATTCGGTAACATCATGATACATGGAGAAAAGGTTGATGTTGTGCAAGATTTTGTCTTGTTTGGGTCAACAATCAATACTAATGGAAGCAGGAGTCAAGAGGTCAAAGGACCAGATGGGTAAAGTTATAGAGACCATAACTGCATTGACGGTTTCTTGGGGTCATGGCAGGAAGAGGTAGACTTTCTCTAAAATTGATTGTGGGAGATGATTTTACAACTCATTTTAATATGATTGAACTACTGGATTTTATGATGTGTGGATTATATGGCAATAAAGATGTTTTTTTTAAAGATGCAGTGCACTGTGCAAATCTGCTACACAAGACCTATTCAAGGATGTTACTTTGAGGATTAAAGTACATCTGACCCAAGCCATGGTATTTTCAATGGCCTCATAGGCATGTGAATGTTTGCTAATGAATAAGGAAAGACAAGAAGAATTGACGCATTGGGATTGTAGTGGTGGAGAAAGTACCAGAGACTGTCCAAAGGGTAAACAAGTCTGTTTTGGAAGAAGTGCCGGCAGCGTGCAGCCTGAGTGTTTCTTAGAGGTATGGATGGAGAGGCTGCATCTTCCATACTTGGGACATGTTGTCCGGAGAGACCAGTCCTTGGCGAAGGACATCTTGCTTGGTAAAGTAGAGGGACGGTGAAAAGAGGAAGGCCCTCAATGAGATGGATTGACTCCAGCACGGACCGAGTGTGAGAATGGTGCGGGACTGGGCAGTGTTTTGTTCTGTTGTGTAAGGTCACTTTGGGTAGGGACAGATTCAGTGGCACCTACCAACAATGAAGAGAAGGGAACTTTCTGGGAAGAGAGATCTTCTAAAATTGATTTACAAAGTGAATGTTGGAAATGATCTGGTTAAATATAAACCCTAGATCCACAAATATCATCAATGAAAAAAATAGGGAAATACAAGGCATAATTGCACTGTGGAACATAATGAAAAGATAGCCACCCTACAGACTGCAAAACAGAGGACTGGGACATTCTGAAAATCTGACATGTATGCACAGCTAAAGACTTCATCTAAAGAATTGAAAGAGAACCCACCGACTGGGAAACAATATTTAGCAAAGATATATCAGATAGAGAGTCAGTTTTTAAGAATCTATTGAAAACTATAAGAAAAGTACAAATAGCCTAGTGAAAAACGGGCACAAGACAGACAATTTACTAAAGATGATATCCAGATGACCAACAATCAAGAAGAAATATTTGCATTCATTAACAATAAGGGAAATACAAATTTAAAAAAATGAGATACCAGCCAGGCGATCCAGCTTCGAGAAGGCTCTCGGTGCCCTGCGGTCTGAAGGCGTCCTGCAAGCGCCCTCCCCACAGCCAAGATGCCCAAGAGGAAGGTCAGCTCGGCCGAAGGGGCGGTGAAGGAGGAGCCGAAGAGGAGATGGGCC